ATCATTCTGCAGTGTTTTTTCTGATTCGCCTCAGATATATCTTGGTCTGTAGCTTCACTAACATTTGCACTTTCTTCATATTCGTTTTTTTATAATGGTCTCTTTCTCTTGATAATAATCTCATCTCTTGCCTGGATCCCCTCTTATTAAAAAAATCATCAAATCAGCGAGTGCATTTGTTTGCACACTAATGGAGTCCAACTTAACTCAAAGAAAACGGTCGTACTAATAATGATCTGATAAAAACCCTTCTTTTTAATTCATTCTGACCCGACCGATCTTTAATATGGGGGAGAAGTACGTTTATGACTATGAACTAGATCTTTTTTAATATACTGTCACTTTGTCATGCGCTAATTAATTGAAGAAATGCTATACATACTGTATGTCACTTTAGGATTATAACTTCAAGGTTATCTGTCTCATTCTTGGTTAATTAAAGCTGCTTAAAAAATGCAGGAATAGATTGATCATACATGATATTGAAAGTCTCTTGGAGAAATTTAACAGAACCTTTTCTGCTTAGGTCGGTACATTTTAATCTTCACTTGATAAAGTTCTAACTTTTTCAGGCATTGTTTAAGTTAAAGTGTCACGGTATGTGATTTATTTTTAAACGTAAGATATAAATACTTAGATTTTTTGAGATTTTACTTTTTTTGCAGACTGTAATTAACTCAGACGTTTCCAATAAAAACAAATCAAGTGCAGTTGAAATACAAGACGGTGCTACAAATCACAGTTTCGGAAAACATATCCAGCTTTTGCCTCTAGCATTGCTGTCAAGCCGCCAATTAGACGCACTGACAGAGACGGCGGAAAAGCTGATAATGTCTGTTGAGGCGTGTGCTTGTAAAATACAATTTTTTCATTCATCGCCTGAAGTGTGACCTTTGACACTACAAATAAATAAAAGATTCTCAAAGTTCAGGTTCTGACTCAACTTGAATGAGCTGGCTCTTATCTAATTATGATCCTGGTGCACGGAGTGATACAAGTCTCTTGATGTTGACGTCTTGTTTAATACCAAAACAGTTCTCCTTGCTCCAGAGCTAGCGATTGCGTTACCTATTAGTCCTAAGCACCGGGATTAAAATAATTACTTAATCAGAGGTTGCAAAGGGGTGCGTTAAGTTCAGCGAAAACACTAATTGGTTCGGATATAGGCTAAATTTCCCGTTGCGCGCTACGTGTTACATGTTTGTAAAAAACAATATCTAATATCCAACTGAAAAACGAGTGCAAGAGCACCAGTTTCGCTGCAGAATGACAATCTGTACAAACGAACACAAGCAGTAGGTAAGTGGTGCTTATGAAACCTATAACATCTTAACCTAAATTACGAATCTACGCGTAGATTAAATGCGCGCACGCGTATGTCTCTTATGGTTTATGAAAATTCATGCTGCTAAGTTAGCATATTTGTTCTCGAAGATTTATTATGAATAAAAAATGAAAATGACAAAAAGAAATTCAAAAGCCACATCTCTGCATTTTAACAAAAATTTTCTTGGCAAACTTTAACTTCAATCTGTTATCCAGCGGGTTTAGTGTGAAAAGTAAATCAAATTGATTTCCAAGCAAAAACACTCGATCCTGCCTGGTGCGCCGAGCACGGTATCCCATTGTGATGGTGAACATTGCGTAAGTGAAACCGTGTTTACTTTTTCCGACATAATAACTTCCACCTAAACTTACTGCAATGCTTTAAAATGTTGTATAATATGGGGTGAATAGCCCGGCCAACCAGCAAAAGAAAATGAAGCAAAATACGCTCCCACATGACATTTGGTACTAATGCACTGTTTTTTCCTTAATTTTTAGCAGTTTGATTTCATAACCCCTTCCCCCTTTACCCAGAACTTCAGAGCAACACCCTGACATAATTATCATCCACAAAATCTCAATATATATCCCCAAAAAAGCAATATAGCGAATAATTCTATATGGTGGCAAACCAGATGAATTTTAGATATTTTTTGCTCTCATTCTTTGCTTTTTATGCCTCTGTAAGGGTGAGTAATTTATCTTTTTTAATGAACTGTGAAAATGTATTATATACATGTACAATATATACATGTATTATATCAAGTAACATCGTACATCTTCTGTCAAACTCACCTTTATAAACAATGGAAAAAGGGTTCAAATAAAATTTACTTTTGCCACATTATTTCAAATGATTTCAATCATAAATAATAGTTTTTATTGTAGATTAAACAACTGGTCAAAATACTGGGCAATTTGATTACAACTGGGCTGATAGTCTTCGTCTCGATTGCCCGGTAATTGCACTGATGTTTGCATTTACGGTAAACAAGGTAAATACGCACCAGTAATTTCACGCTAATAGTTTGGGTTGTTTACAATTTGTGTATTCCATTAAATTCGGCTTTTTGCAAGTTCAAAGCCGTTATTTCAGATGCGTTCAAAAAAGCGCGCCACTAGGTAAACGTAAAAAGCTGAAGAAGTACAGGAAATCTTTCTTATATTATTGCACTTGTTTAACACTATAAAATTACAAAGTTGTACGCAGAACAGCGTCCGAGGAGCTAAAAATGGACCTTTTTACCTTAGGCTATCCAGCTTTGACATAATGTAATTAGAATCAGTTCGGCTTTCATTTATTTTCACAATCCGTTTAAAATAAAAGAATGAATTAGGATCTGGTCTGAACTGTGTAGAATATTCTGGTTTGATATTACAGGTATGTCACCCTTGTGAAATTAAATTTTTGTTGGATGAAAACATTGCGTCTGTTAAAAAGCTTGAACCGTTGCTGTGCTTACAATTTTTAGGACCTGCTGTCTACCGAACAGGTTTTCCACGCAGAGAGATCGAAAAGGTGTAGACTGCTTCATTTAATAATACCAAACAAGAATAAAATAGAAAAAGGGTAACAAAATTGATTAAACTTAAGCAATGTTTCATATGTGGTGCTGTATATGGATTGACGATCACAATGAAATACTTGAACGATAAAAATCAACATCACTGAAAACAATACAAAACAAAACAAAACAAAAAATGATAATTTAAGAAAATGTAAAAAACAAAAACGCGTGCTAGGCTTGCAAAGGACAGTTTTGACAGTGATTTGGTCTTTTAGTAACTGATATATAAGCTAAAAATAGAAGACGTTATAATATTTAGAGGAAAATCAATATACCACCTTGTTATGAAACCAAAGTAAACACACACGCGACAAAGATATAACTCGAGTATTTTTTTTTCGCCTTTTCATAGCAATTTTGATTAGGAATAAGTTGTCAATTCACTTGGGGCAGTACTTTGTAACATGCGACCGAGTCATTACATGGAACTAATATGAAGGACATTTCTGACGTTTCGCCAGTCATTAAGATCACCGTGTCATCCTGTACATTTCAGATAGAAATATCGACCTCGGGTACGTTTGTTTGAGGGATTTTACCGTAAGAAGGTCTACATTGGGGAGGACAAACTTGGAAGGTATGTGGATATAGAAAATACGACTTTGGGGTATTTTCAAAACGCGGATAGTATACGTTGAAGGACAGCGTTGTTTTCAGTGCAACCGCGTTGTCATGTGCTCTATTAAATTCATACAATATACGTATTTTTTTGTTTTAGACAAACGTCCCTGTTACATTTACCTCGGCTATTGCATGTCAAATCAATGCGTTTGTTATTCAAAAAGGGGCAAAAGTAAAACATTAAGAGTTGAAACAATGACTCGTATTTGAAGATAGCAGTTTGGAGGTAACTGACATTACAAGACAAGAAATGTGATCTGCTGATCAGTTTTCACTGCTTATTAATCAAGAACTCCCATTTAATGTAATACTTATCAGTCATTCTCGTCGGTGTTAGGCTTCATAAGACCTAGAGACTGAAATATTCCATCTGTCAAATAAATCTTTTGCATAACATATAGTCACACAAACGTTTCACAGATAGTTTTTTAGAACTGTGGGCTATATATAGCTAATAACCAGCAAGGTGAGGGGTTTCTCTTTTAAAGGCCAAGTTATCAGTTTCGTTATCGCCTCAAAAAATTAAACTAGACAATGCACAATGAAAGCATTTGGCGACACGCAAAACAAATGATTTGTGCAATTTTCCCATCACACGCATTGTGTCATAGATAATATCTTGTGTCTTTGTCTTTTCTAGATAACCTCCAAACTGCAAGATAAATTGCATCTGGAAAGGAAGTTTAGACATCCCATTAAGAATAGCTTAGGTAAATCATAATGATGACAGGAAATCGTCGAAAAGTGTTTGGACTGCGCACAGTGAGGGCATGATCTATATCACTGAGGCTGCTAATACCTTCAAAACCCCCTGTTTCTCTGACTGAAGCACTGACATCGGAACGCATTCGCATTACGTGCACTCACGGAGATTTACGGACATCAACGAAGACAGGCTATAAAAACAACCGAACCATGTGTTTATTGCTTTTCGTCCAAACTGTTCCGCGGAATAGAGCAAGTATGTAATGCTTCAGAAGATCCGAGCATTCCGAACTGAAAGGCAATTTAGCACGAGAGAACAGAGAACTGAGTTATTAGAATGGTATAGGCAAGGTGTCGCTAGACTAGTGCTTTGACGTGGAAAGCATTTCCAATATATACCACTAAGCAGCACAGGATCACATAGGTGAGTTTATTACAGTTTCCACTAATTTATTAATTTTTGACCTCTGCAAACGTAGAAAGCCTTAAGTCTCACCTGGGAGCAACACCCACTGGGGTAAAAAAAAAAAAGTGGCTCGAAGGTGGCTAATCCTCCAGCGCATTAGTTAATGGGGATTAGGTGTGTAATATCACCACTAACGCGCGTTTCTTGAAATATCACTTTCACCACATGTCTGCCCACTGTCTGAGAACCTGTGATGCTATCACTAATATTTTGACAGACTCAGGTTATTTCAAATGTTATATTGTGTGTTATTTTCCCGATCAGCTGGGTTGATTCTCACATTCTAGATCTTGCTGTTATTTTCACTGTAGGGGGCCTTGGAGACTGCACGTTAACTATATAACCTTCGGAAATCGCTATTCTACGTTACTGGGAAAGGTTTTCTATTTGTGCACCAAGGACAAGGGATAAATAGCAAGATTTTAGACGAAAGAAAGTATGTAATCCTCAGCGAGCAAGGATACAGTTTCTTTTGCCAACTCCGGACGGGTGTGCACCGTATGGTGATATGCTATGTTCATTAAAAGTAATCAGAACCGTTTAACTTTAAGGATTCAGAGGTGGACACGTGTTAAAAAGACAGGATCTCTGCAAAAACGCAATACTCTGAATAATCGATGATTAGATCAGTTGTCAAGGTGATTACTTGAATAACAGCAGAAAAAAAGGGGACTGGTTTTATCTCTGGATTAGCACCTGTTGTAATTTACTGCATTACCGACGGGAGCTGAGCGAAGTTAAAGTGGAAGCGGGATCATGATGGACGCCGAACAGGAGAATATTACATCATTGAGTGAAGACACGTTCGATGGATTTTTGGATAATGCCAATTTCTCTCTGTCTCAAAACCAGAGTGATACAGGAGCATCTTGGCTCATCTTTGCCTCTGTCGGGTTAGCAATTACCGTGACAGGCTTCCTCGAAAATGTGGTGAGCATTCTTGCTTTGAGTCACATGCGACGGCCGTTAGAGCCATTCCATTATTTACTGGTCAATTTAGCCATAGCTGACCTTATTGTTGTGGGTTTTGCGTCCATTGGTAACGCGTTGTTTTTATACGCTCAGACGGTGGACCGCTCCTCGGATACGTTTTGCTGGGCTCATTTTTTCATGGAGATTTCTTATATATCCTTACCGTCCACCTTGCTTGCGACGTCGGCACTGGTGTTTAACCAGTATCTAGCTGTGTCCAAAATACTAAACTATAGATCAATGGTGACAAAAAGAAAAGTGGTCTTTTGTATTACTCTTTTCTGGATATGTACTATTGCTATCGGCGCTGCCCTTCAAGCTGTTACCGCATACAGGAACAGAAGTACATTGCCAGAAAATGCAGATGGACATTTTTGGGACACGCTATGCGCAATATATGACACCCAGGATTATTACACGTTTTCTGCGTACACATACTTTATTCTTTTCATAGTCATAACCACACTTGTTGCCATAGTGTATGCGAAAACATACTTTGACATCAAACATCAACTTTCGGGGGTGAGGAACTTAAGACGCTCCATTCGTAGAACCAGGAGCAGTGCGGAATTCGAAGCCACGCAGCAAACCAAAGTGAACGCTACCATTGCACTTCTGTTCGGAACTATTGTGATTTTTTGGTTACCTGGGATCGCTGATGCTCTGATAACCGTTTATCTTCTATCCATAGCGCAAGACTGCCAGCCTTGCAAAATCATTCATCAAATAACCAACTTAATGTTCATTGCAAATGCTCTTTTGGACCCGGTTATTTATGGCGTTCGTATTAATCAGGTGAGAGGTGGTTATCACCGATTGTTAAAAAGATGCACCAAGGTTTTGTGCCGCCAATCACGGGCCGCGAACGTGAATGGCTTGGGACGCCAAGGAGCATTAACATCGCTTGGGTATGAGCGAACGTCACTGTATGAGAGGGCAAACAATGGTATGGTTTTCTCCACTAATTCAACGTCTCTTTGAAACACTTTTTAAATGTCGGATATTACTTCTTATAAATGAACAATGGTTATCATGGTTAAGGAGTCATGCATTATATTAAATGCCATTTGAAGTTTTTTTTAAATAGAGATGATGTTCCTCAACTTCACGCCTCCTTCGCTCACAAAGGCAATTTCTTTGCAGATTCAACGATTTTCGTATAAAAGATTCAAACAAATAGAAAGGTTGTAGGGCAATGACTTTTATAGCTTATCAGGTTTTGGCGTATACCTAGTTGGCTATTGTAAGAAGTTATATTAATATTATATGTAGTTTTGCTACATACGGATACTTGAACAAAAAACCCCGATTAACGTTAAATAGTTGAATGGAAATTTGTAAATCTATATATCCATTGGTATTATTCGTAATATAAATGTACATCGTCAACTCTGCGAAATTGTCTTAATTGATTATTTTACGCACGATTCACATATAAGGTGTATTCTAATTATGCCGTACCAGGTACAAAAGACGGCGTTGAATTGGAACTGGTAACAGGATAGTATAAGTCTAAAATCCTTACAATGGAAATCATCCGAGAAAGTTAAAACAACGCTGTCAGAATGTTTTGGAGTCATGCTAGACAAGAAAACGTGCGGGAATCCGCGTGAGGATCTGGCTCACCTTTAAGCAGTGCTGATGAAACTCGATCTATATAGCGGGAATATCGTCTTAGAAAGCAATACAAAAGTTACACGCAAAACACGGTGAATGTGCAGTGCTGTGAAAAAGACTATGATTTAACAGAACCTCGACTATGATTTAACAGAATATCGGAAAAAACCTCCCATACATGAATTATGTCAGCTTTTATTTGTTGCCGCGCCGCACTCGACAGTCTGCCATTACGTCTGATTCCACTCTCCATTAAACCCCGCGAAGCCTCGCTTGATTTTACTCTAAGTCGTAAGACCTTGGCTTGGATCATTCCCATTACTGACGCTTTTGTTTGCTCTCAAATAGAGTATTTCCCTTTTGTTTTGATAACAAAAAGGATCGGCGACGCACGAAACAGTTACTATTTTTTATATTTAAATTTTGTGTTAAGGTTCAGTGTTAAAAAGGGTTTTCGTGTCAAGCGTAAAATAGTAAAAACGATGTAAAATTGAATGTTGATAAAATTCATCACTATCTGTATTTTGAAAGAATAAAGAAAGACCACGATAATCTTTTCCGTTACTGGTTTAAACACTTTGTCTCACAGATCAAATTGAAAAGCAGTAATGGCGAGGTTAATTGCAATATTTACCTCAAAGGAGCCGTAGCTGCGAGGGGTTTAGGCAATGTTGCGAATGGAAATTTAACCCATTATTCAAATGTCTGAAGAAACATTGATTTTGTTTCAGTGATTAACTGCAGCCAGTGGTACTTGATTCCAACTTTTGTCTGTAAACCCTTGAGCCTAGAGCTAAGTATATATGATAAATAGCATGTAGCCAGTGAAAATGTAATAGCAGTTGACCAGCTGCTTTGGATTATATATATCTAGACCATTTAAGTATGCGATGTAAATGTACGTCCCTCCTAGAGTTACTAATAAAAAAAAAAATAGCAGCGCTTCATATGAGATTCAAAAATCCACAATAAATACATTGTAAACAATATATATATATATATATATATATATATATATATATATATATATATATATATATATATATATATATATATATATATATATTCCATTTTACCACCAAAACGGCGGTTATCGCAATTATTCTGAAAACTGAAATCTCTTATAAGATTATTACAAATGACTCACTTAAAAAGCTACTGACGTACTTTGAATGTCGGAACAGATTCATTTCATTGGTAAGTATTGGAACATCGTCGTTTACCCCAGGAAAATCCCTTTAATGGCAATTCTCCCTCCAAAATGAAGAGTTGTTATCCCTTTAAGTTACCCATTTCCTGCACACCGGTTATTAAGCAGCCTTACTGCATGGGATATGAGTTATGGCAGTAAATAACATCAAAAGTTGTGCGTTATGCTATATACTCAAACACTTCATGGTGTCCTCATCAATTTCTGAATCTTTGCCGTAAGTTGACATCTCTATATCCATTTCTTTAAAAACTTTACATTGATTTAACTTTTTGAAATGTATTGTAAAAATCACAACTGTGAACGAGAGCAGCTGGCTTGTGGAAAGGGCATAAACCTTAATGTTCACATCGAAACGGAGAGATGATTTATGAAGGTTGTCTAGAACTGACGTTCCACGAAGAGTTTGTTTTGCATTGACATTTCGTGATTACAAGACGAGGATACCTTTTAATAGACACTGCGGACAATTCACGTGGCTTTTAATGTTTCATATTAGTGGATTAACTGCGTCATTATGATTTTGATATTTTTCTTGCAGCCCTTTCCAAGAAATCCAAGGACAATCGTTTTGTTCTTGCTCCATTAATCCATTAAGATTGCCAGTTTCGCCTGATTATAGGCAATATTCAAGGACTCGGAGATGTGTCTCTAAGTATGCGTCCCTTGTGTGAATAGATCATACATTAGGAGTTGAAAAAAATTTAACATTGATGGCAACATGATTTCCATGACCAGGATAACATAGGCCGACGTCATGCAATGCAGTACCAAAACCAGTTGCAAAAAAACCTTTCAAACTTATAAATGATGCCCTTTTTTCAGTTTGGCTCAACAACATGCTGTATAGCTTATATTATAGCAGCAAATATGTGAAAATAAAGGGCCGGGCGTATTCACTTACAAGGGGTCGTGCTTATCACAAAGGCGCTCAGGAAGTAGCGTTCATTTAGAAACTGCCCCGTTAGCTCCAGGCATGTGTAAAAAAGCAGTGAACCCGTCCTGACGTTGCCTACTACATCCAACAGAGTCATTAGATTCGAGAAATGATAGATCGTTCAGTATTATCACAAATCTTTTGAAGCGTCCTCCGGTCGTTGCTCTAGTACTTAGATGTTTAAATTTAACAACAGAGTCACGGGCTCTGAAGACTAAGTGCTGAACCAAAGAGGTATTATAGTGGATTAGAGGACAGGCAATGTTCAATGACAGAAACATCGTCTGGAAGATGACGTCAACTTAAATAACAATGGTTCTCTTAGAAATGTATTTGAAAGGGTAATCAACTCTTACATAGTGTTCAGAGGCCTTTTTGCCAAGGTACAACCAGTTTAAATGGTTTGTTCAACCGCAAAATGTTATCTAATGACAATTACAAGATTTGACAAAACTATGCTATCTTAAGGTTTGAGGTACGATTATTATCATAAGATTACTCGCGTTTTGTAATACATGATTCCCATAAACCATGTTAAAAATATTTAAATCAGAAAAATTGCTTTATAACATCGAAATGAAAGACGAAGAGGATGTGCTGATATCAACAACATGTGACAAAGAATTCATTCAAGACCAACTAGACATCAATATATTTAATTGGAAAACGTGTTCATAAATTATGTTGCGAACTGAATAGTTTCGAGAATGCGAGCTGTCTCATTATAAAGGATTCTTTTGCGCAAACACAACCGCTAATATTTCAATTGTTTGGTGTCATTGAACTATGGCGTTGCAGATGTTATTGGAAAATGACATGAAAGCGTAGGACGATCACTTCTTATACTTTTTTGGTCGTAAATATCAATAAAAGCAATCATTTATGGATACCCAAAAGGTTGAGTGTATTCTCGAGAGGCAGTTTACAAAATATCTTCACCCTCGATTACGAGAGTGAAACAGCTACTTGTAGTTGCGATTAATGAAATTGTCTTCGGCAAATGTCATCGGGAGATCAACTTGTTTGGCAGTAATATAATTTTACCAGCAGAACAGGGGTATCTTATGTACGCTTTGTGGTCCATCATATAGGTGAATTGAATTTGATTGATTGCATAACAGTGACTGCTGTGCCACCAAAGAGAATATTGAATACACCATTCTGTTTATTGGATGAAGAAAAAGATTAGTTGGTTTGAGACCGGATTATACACAGACCACCACGAGATATAGATATCATTTTAATTCCAATTTGAATCAAACATTTACTTCTGTTTTAAGATAAAAAGGAAAAGCTACCCTATTACGAAAGATCGATTTTCTTTCAAACATTTAGCAAATGCACAGGCGATTTGTGGTAGTAATGTTCACATATTGGGAGTGGCACCTTCGTTTGACTGATGCTCTGTGCAGTATATACCAAAGAGTCGACATTTTTTAAATCTTCTTTGCCTGCCATCGGTCAAAGAAACATGACATTTCAGAGAGAAAGAACACATTAGATGGGGCTTGCTAAGAGTGCACTATATTGGAGTTACGATGTATTACCCCTTTATTATGAACTTTTCATAGGAGAGAAATGCAAAAAATTGTGAATTCCCTCTTCTGCCGTCTTCATAAAATAAATGTAATATATCAAAAAGCACTAGATGGAAAAATCATGCAAATGAATGTGAAGCAACTGGCGCAGTTTTTAACAGCAATGTATAATAAACAGTAACATTTGTAAATGATACCAAGTGTCTAATAAGGTTTTGGGGGGTTTATAATAAAATAATGAAGGAAAGAATGTGGACACTGCATTAGTCCATTGCACAGTCGCCACAATACATAAACTTTACCATTTTAACACGGCCTCAGCCAAACAATACCGAATTTCTTTCGTCATGTAGTATATCACCCTGCCTATGGGTATGGACATTTTGGTTGATTGTGTCTTGACTAACAGCACGATGTCGAGGCTATTTAGAATGACAATGGAGAGGAAATTACTAAGGGACATACATTGATAGGGAATAAATCGACATTTTGAAGATTGAACGGAAAAAACGTGATCAGTAACTGTGCTAACATTTTGCTGACAGCAAGATGTCAATTATTTCGTGAAAATTGTTTCATTTTATTAAATCACTAATTATCGTAAAACAATATCAGTATGCAAACTCAAAATCATTTAATTAAAATGGAATCAATGGAGAGTCCAAAGGTACCACATTGGCAACTTTA